ATTACTTTATTTCATTGGTATCAATAAGTTACTTTGGGAGTAAAGGGGAAAGTGCTCTGTGAAGTTTAATACTTAGAGCAGCGGTTGTCTTTGCATAAGACTGGATGCATTATTTTTGCATCACAGTGTAACATGTGAGGATATGTTGCAAGTGATGAGGCAGTGAACAGCCACACCGATTTAATTAATTTCATATGTTTGGTCCCTTTTATTTACCTTTCTTGGGTTTTATGCTCTCTCACATTACCTGTGGCACAAATAATATAGTTATATCTTAAATTTTATTGACAAGTAAAGCTAAAAAAATAGTTATTTTCTTTTCTTTTTTTTTTATAAAGTCAAAAATCAAAAGGGGAAACGTGTAAATATTGGCTCATGAAGAATAAAGTGTCTTGAAATTTTCACGTAGAGATTGCGTGCATATCAGGAGGATCAGAGTGTTCTGGTCTTGACTGTGATCAGTTCTGATCTGATCGGATCAGTTTTCTGGTGGTCAGAGATGGTGGGTCATGCTTCACTATTGCAGATTAGACAAATGTAGTTACAACTGAAATGAAACTTGGTATTTTGCATGTTGTAATACTGACATGGATGTAAAATAACAGCTATCACAATTAACGGTCTGATTTCCACTCATCCTCTGATGTTAATTATTCACCTTTATTAAACCTGGAAGATAGCCTCAGTGCATCTGTATTATACAGCCACTCTGTCCATTTTAATATAAAAATACAACCAGAACATATTGCTAAAGAAAAGTTCATCTAGCATTTCTTTTTTTCTCCCCTCTGTCCCTTCCCCAAGCCTTGAAGTATGTTGTGCAAGTATCTGCTACACAGGGTATGACTGCGCTCTAACAGGTGAGGTATAAATCTGGCATCAGTTCACGGTTAAGTGAATTAGTAAAACACATCAGTCAGGTAGACAAATGCAAAATGTTTTAAAAAGACTAATAATAATAAAAAAAAGGAAACTACATAAAAAAAATTAGTAGTTCTGTTCATGTGACATTTCATTCACTCTTTTTTTTTTTAAATCACCAGATAGGACAGCTTGTGGAGCCCAGGAGCAGGGGATCTCTGTGCTGCCATTAATCTTGTTTCCATGGTTCCTCCTCGACCAGCGTGCACTCTGCAGCAGAGCCGTTCGTGGCTGAGGTTACCTGTAAGCAGTTAGCAGCCAGATCTAAACAAGTGCTCCAAGGTACGGGTAAAAAAAAAATGCTTGAAGAATGAAGATATTTGTGAAAACGTTGGCTCTCAGCAGTGACCCAAGATTGTCAAAAGCTTAGAAAAAGGTATTTTGGCAAAAACGCTTTATGTGATTTTCTTATGAGTACAATGATTTAAACTCAATTTAAATATATAGATCTTTGTTTGGCTGATTACTGATTTTGGCGCTGTTAAAATTTGGCAACGGCTAAAAACTCAGCTTCTTAGGTATCACTGCATTTTACACAACGTGCAAAATCATGGCAGAATACAGGAGCGACTGGACAACCAACGACGGCTTATGGTTAAGGACGATTTTCTGTCACTGACCTGGGAACAAACCACAAATTCATGATGATCACAGATGCAACACAACGTAAAGTAAATACAAATAAATAAATAAACAGTACAAAATATGCACAGTACTCAAAACAAGGTACAATCTACAGAATGGCGTTGTTACGTTTTAGCTTTTTTTTTTTGCAAGCGTTCTACAGCTGAGTGCAAAAGGGGTTAGAAACAAAAGCCACAAAATTATAAAGCAAATCGACAAAAACAAAAAGACAAAATAAATCAGAAGACTTCTGGAAATAGCAAACTGTTGTGTTTCATTTAAATGTAAATGCTCATTAATATTTTAAAACTCTGCAATGAGAGTATAGTTATAGTTGTTACTCATGTAACAGGTTGATGGTGTTGCTTAGCAACAACTTTCATTATTTAATAAATGTATAGACTCATCCTTTTTTAGTTGGATGTGTGCACCTGGAACAAGCTATTTGAACATATTTAAAAACATATATATATATGTTTTTAAATAATATTCTATGTTGTTTTACTTTATGAAAACTTGGCTTCATCTCTTGGTTTTGCGCCATATTTTTCACAATAAACCGAAATAGATGCTGTCAGAATGTTAAAACCTGGAGAGAAAATATCTCAGTGAAAGTGTGGTAGAGAGGTGTGTGTTAGGAACATGTGAAGTGTAAAATAGCTGCAACACCTCTGTCTGCATTGTTAATCCAAGTGCAAATGAGTAACAAACGCATCAGACTTCGAAATTCAGCCGTATCTTTAGACAGACTGGAACAAGCTCCATCAAATGTTAAGCTGAACAAAAGTTAATGATAACATCTTAGAAGCAAAGCTGCTGCATCTTTATATTTAATATGGAGCTGTTGAACAGTTTTCCAGCCTTGATTAAAAATTTGGCTGTTTATTTAACACAATAGGTGCTATTCCAGAAGAGTGATTACATGCCGTGCGACTGTTTTTCTCTCGGTTCACTTGTGAAACAAACAGCAGGTGCAATTACATCACAGTGCACAAACAGTGTAAAGCAAACAGAATGAGGAAAAAGATGCCGGGTGATCATGCAACAACAGGGTTATACTGAAGTCTCTATGTCCGGAAGCATTAATTGTACCTTGCATTCATCTACTAAGACAGAATTGTTAGCTGAGGCAGTAGCGGTTGTGGAAGCAGTCGGGGTTAAAACGCACTGGTTGGAATTGTTTTCATGGTGGTTCTTCATGTCATCATAATAGGCCTGGGTCTTTGTCATCATTTCAATGTCGTCCGATTTAGCCATGTGCGCGTCCAGCTCGTCCAACTCTGCTTTTGACAGGTGGTACACAATCCCTGCACCGTAGGAGTCACCCACTACATTCACTGAGGTCCTGAATCGATCCCTGAAGCAAGAGAAAACACATTTTTAAAAGTTTTAACAGAAAAAAGTACTTGATAGAACTCTTTAAACAAATGTAGTGTGCAACCACTTAGACTCACAGCAGCCAGTCGACAGCAACCAGCAGACTGATATCCTGGGTTGGCAGGCCAACAGCAGTTAGGATCAACAGCATAGTCACCAGGCCGGCACTGGGAATACTGGCTGCCCCAACACTGGCTAAGGTAGCTGTCAGACTGAAATGTAGCATTAAAATACATAGTCACAGTCACATTTTTCAGATCTACCACATCTAACAAGCTCTTTCACGTCTCCATTATACATCTAAAATCAATCATTTATATGAAACTGGTGCACCTCACACTCATAGATACTGATATATCCATCCTCTGCTTTGCTTTAGAATGAAATGGGTCCAGAAGAGTGGGTCCCTGTTGTGGGAAACTAGATGTTTAATTTGAGGGTTCATTGATTTATGTGCCATAAAAATGTCAGTGTGAGGGTCATCTATCGTCAGCTCGCTCTGTTATGAGAAGAGCGTTTGGCACAGACTGATGACAAAAAGCATTCAGTTGCTGTTTGTCTTCCTGCTTAGCATGAGGCACGACACTGCTGCAGCTTCCTCATGCTGGTTTGTTTCTTTCACTGTTTATTTTTTCTGAAGTGTCTGGTTTAGACCACACAGGCAGATTTACTGGTAAATGCCTTTACTGATGAGTTTGAGATCTTTCATCAAGTGCTAGTTATGCTAAACAGCAGTTACGTGACCTCTTTTAAATCGGGACATCATACATTTGTTTCTGCCTTAACACTGTGTTGATACATATATTTAATTAAAAGACAATGCGTGCTTCACTGTACAACTAATGGAAGTAAAAGTATGCCTGTTGGAAAGACAGTTTTTTTTCTGACCTGACTGTGACAATTTGACCAGGGTCAAGTATGACACCGTTCATCTGAGCAATAAAAATGGCAGCTACAGCTTCATATAAAGCAGTTCCATCCATATTGATGGTGGCACCAACTGGGAGCACAAAACGAGTGACTCTTTTGTCGATACCCAAATTCTCCTCCAGGCAGCGGAAGGTGACAGGCAGTGTACCAGCACTGGTAACAGAAGAAAAACGAAAAATAATTACTATATATTCATATTGTATAGTGTAACATTAGGTAGCAACACACTGGTTTAACCATTCAGTAATTTATTTATCTAATAATATATTCTGAAGCTGACCTGGAGGCTGTCCCAAGAGCAGTGATCCAGGCCTGGAAGACGCCCAGAAAAAAGGTGAAGGGGTTTTTCCTGGTGATAACAAAGTAAATACTGGGCAGGAAGATGGCTCCGTGGATGATTAGGCCAACAATCACAGTCACCATGTACATGCCAAGCTGCCTGGCCACCACCTCCAAGTCTTTGATGGAGATGATCTTGCCACAAATCAGACAAGCAATACCAAAGGGAGAGTACCTTTAGGGGAGATAAATTATAGATTAAGACTGCTGGGAAAATGCAAACTAAATAAATCATTTTGTTTTAATGAAATCCACACTATATGTTTTTAAACATAATGTTCATTGAGAAATAGTTAGACAAAAAGCAAAATACAAAATGACATAAACAAGCTAACTGGGTTTCAAGTGAGTGAAGGATAGTCACAAATGATACTAACCACATAATCATGATGACAAGTTTCATCACAATCTCATTGAGGATATTGAAGAAGTCAATCATGAGTCTGGCTTTCTCTCCCATCTTCCCCATGCAGATGCCAAATGCAATAAAGAAACCGATCAAACCTGGGACAGAAAATTGTAACTGTATCAGAATTTGTGTAGGAGAGTTAAAAGGTGAATGTTAGGGGCATTAGAAAGCAGCATATTAAACTATGATTTAAACATCTTAACATTTATCAATGATAACATGACCAACCCCATTTTATATAAATGTCACAACAGCAACAGACATTACATTCAGCTGACTGCATGTCAAGAAAAGGACCGGTCTTATATCAATGTTTAGCTTTGTGACATTTGGGGTATGATTGCTATAGCTGATGTTAGCAATTAGCTACAGTTGGTTTGATCCGATTAGAGGTGTGGACTCAATAGTGTGACACATACCCAAAACATTCATGCCACTTTTGAACTGCAGTGACTTCTTGATGACATATTGAGGTTCCTTGGTAATGTTAGCCACAAGGCCCTCCACACTGGTGGCATTAACGTCCTCTTCAATAGCAACTTCAACTTTCTTTGTGACTGTTTGAATCTGAAAGAAAAAAGTGACAGAATTGTTCAACTATGACATTTATCAAAGGTATGTGCATTTCCACCATGAAACTTTTCTTTCTTGAAAAATGTTCCACTCTAAAGCACACTTCATAATTGTTTCCAAACACTCAGATTTGGTATAGTCTCAAATTTATTGATAGAGTTCATGTAAAATGATGTGGTAAACTCATGACAACACCTTTTTTTTTCCCCCTTCTTTCCGCTGCTCCCTTCGTCAGGGGTCCCCACAGTTAACTAACTTGGCACATGTTTTTATGCCGGATGCCCTTCCTGACACAACCACAGACCACCAGAGCAGAGGGCTGCCATCTAGGGTGCCCAGGGTAGCAGATGCTGGGGGTTAAGGGCCTGAAGTGGGGCAAATCTGGGTGGAGGCAGGTGTGGATCTTTCACCTTTCCCAGCCACATTTTGATGGTCCAGGGAGTTGGATCTGCAACTTTCCAGTCACAGGACTATTTTCTCTAACCTTTGCACCACCATTCCCCGTTAAACTCGTGACAAGACCTGATCCTTTTAAATTATCAATAAAAGTATAAAGAGTCATTTTTTTTTCTGTCCTTACCTGCTGGAAACAGGCCTGCACCAGGTTTTCTGGGAAAAGGTTTCTGATCAGATCAAAGAAGGCATCCAAGCTGGACACGTCTTCGTTTTCCTCTCCTTCGCCCAGATTCTCTTTCAGTTTGGGGTTGCCAGGGTGGATGACTAACACCAGGATGACTCCCAGGACAGCAGCAATTACAGTGGTTGTCATGTAGTACACCATAGCTCTGGTGCCCAGGCGACCACTAGATTTGGCGTCCAGACCGGACAGACCTGCATCCAAAACAAGCAAGCGCATGTTTACCTGGTAATGTCTAGCTGACAGAAAATGTTGACTCAATACTGAGAGAATGATGGGTGATTTCATAGAACATCAGTGGAATTATGTAACAGTGTTCAGTCATGTACGTCATAGCAGCACTACAGCTAAAGAAATGTAGCTGATGAAATTCAGTTGCACCATTAAATAAATATATAAACTGCTTGCTTTTCTAAAGTGCATTGACAAAATATTCTACATGTATATGATTAAGATCATCCTACTGTACCTGTGATTAAACTGGAAATGATGAGTGGCAAGATCAACATCTTCAGCATCCTCATCAGAATATCTCCAGGAAAAGCGATCACCATGACAATGTCTGGGTGGATGGGAGAAGCAACGCGAAGCAACATCCCTGCTACAGCTCCCAAGATCACACCTGAGTGGAAAAAAGGTCAAAATTGTATATATTTTTTTTTTTAACTGAGTACATGTACATCTTAACTTAAAACAGCCATTTATAATTGGTCACAGCAGTTCAGGGATATGTACATGTTTAAAGAGGACAGTGGATTTTAAGGATAGCACAAAAAAACTTCCAAAAGAAAATAAAGTTCATGAAGGATTCAGATCCGATTTTAAGTTAGGGAGACCATTTTCATTTTTAAATGAATTTTCTAATTAAACAAAGATCCAGAGTGATTAAAAAAAAAGCATAATAAGACCAAACATCTTGCTTTGACTTGTATAAATAACATTGTTCTGGAAGTCTTGGGGTGTATACAGATGCAACTTTGCTGATGTGCCATACTTTTAGATAGATGTTTCCTGGAAGCACTTTCAAAGAAACTGTGTTTGTCTTGTTTTAATATTGGTAGTGGAACCATGTTGAGTCTGTGATTTCTCTGACTATGATCTGACCTCTGGGTGAACTTGCTTGAACATCCACTCTTAGAAATATTAACACGTTTCTTACTTGTGAATAATTGATCTTACTGCAGGATGAGAGCCTTCAGATGACTGATAGGCAGCAACAATTACCTAATTAAAATTATTTATAATGTCTTTCCTCTTTGGCATTGTGTCACACCTGAATGATGCATAGCAAATTTCATGAAGTACTCAATTTTACTGATAATCCATAAATTCTATACCTATTTAATATAAATTAAATCTGAGCTTCCTGCAGCACACAATTACTCTCAAAACATAAAGTTGACATGTGTAGCCTGGCCTCAGCCAACACCAGGCTCACCAGTTGGTCTTTGTTTTCAAAAGCCAGAGAAAACTCAAACATCCTGCTGAGGTTTTAAATCCACTAATAAGCATTATGCAGATTAATTATTTCTATCCTTATGTCTACCAACATCCAGTGGACACCCTGAGCTTCTGGATGACACGCCATTTACCTTCTCAAGGCCCTTTTTTCCCCGTTTTCTTTCAGGCCTTTATCTCTTAAATGACAGATCAGCAGTGATCACATTGGCTAAATTATTTTGTCTGACTGATGTGAGATGTGTAATACCCTCAAAAAACCATTTATTTAAACAATTTAAACATGCAGATGTAAATGGAAGTGCCAGGTACTAAATGTAAAACTGAAGGAGCAATATAATTATCAGCAACAGCATTGTATAAACAGTGGATTTTTATTTTTATGACTTTGTCCTTCGTGCATTTCTTTCTCTTCTCAAATTCTGTCACTACTTCTCACTATTTCCTTTGTTTGCTCTTAAATCTACTTTACAATATATTTTCCTCACATCAGGTCCATATTTATTGTTTATAAGAGCCAACCTGTATTAGTTAATCACTCCACTCAGAGTGGCTTCTCATTGGCTTCTCAGATCACACTGTTGATTGGTTCTCAAACTATCTCACAGGTCGGAGGCAATGTGTTCGACATAACGGTACTTCATCTAACTACCTAATGGTTACTAATGGTGTGCCACAAGGCTCTGTTTTAGGTCCCACTCTTTTTATCCATCCATCCATTCAAAACATTCCTGACGCATCCTTGCATCTCTGTACCGACGATACTGTTGTTTATTGCCGAGGTTTTCCAGGTTCTACAGTCTGCATTTGACATCATTCAGTCTGACTTATTCTATCTCAAACTGGTGCTAAATGCTGATAAAACCAAAGGGATTTTGTTTTCAAACAGAAAGTATGTAAAAGCAGTTCTTCCTCCCATCTCATCTATAAATGTTTTTCCTACTGAGTTTGTGGATTCTTACAATTACTTGGGCATTTTGGTTGATTCTCATCTCTTTTAAACCACATATTGAAAACTTGATAAAAACACTGAAATTAAAACTGGATTTATTTTTCAGAAATAGCTCTTGCTGAACTCTGAATGCCAGAAAATGCTTTGTAACCGCTACTTTACTACCGGCCACTGACTATGGTGACATTATTTACATGAATGCCCCTCCAGCTTCTTGCAGATGTTGGATGCTGTCTACCATGGCACGCTAAGAATCATTACTGGTTGTAACTACCGAACCCACCACTGCACCCTGTACTCATTAGTCAGTTGCTCACCATTATCTACAGATAGGCTCTCTCTCTGGTTCATTTTCATCTATAAATCACTCATTGGTCTGCTACCTTCTTATTTCTCCTCCCATGTGTCACGTCGTCAGTGCGGTTACAACATGCGCTCTCAGGCCATCATTACCTGCAGCGTTCCCTCAGTGCAGACTGAACTTGGCAAAAGGCCTTTTCTTACTTTGCTCCTGCAACCTGGAACACCTTGCAACAGGAACTGAAACTGTCCACCTTAATTTCTTTAGGGTATTTTAAACATTTGATAAGGTCAATAGAAACATCAATGCTAATATCGTTTTTAGTATTTTACCTTGTTTCACGATGCCTGATTTATTGTTTTATACACTACTCTTATTTTAACTGCATTTTTACTGTAGTTTATTATTATTATTTATTTATATTTTTGTCTGTACTTTATATATTCTGTCTGGAACAGGTCCCTCAAATGAGTCCTCATGGCTCAATGAGACTAGCCTGTATAAATAAAGGTTGAATGAATGAAAAGAATAGCTCAAGCTTTCTGTTACTCTTGAAATTCTCATTGTTGGACAAGTTTTGCACTGTTGCTGTTGTTGCCTTCTGCCTGGCACAGCAACATGGATTCTATTTTTTTTTTATCCCTACTTATTTTGTACATAAATCTAAAATGCATAATTTGTGGGGAATTTTTTTTCATAGCAACAGGTGGCACTGTCCTGAGGAGGGTCAGAACACACAGTCATCATGCTGTCTGGTACACTGAGCACAGATGACACATATTACCATCAAGCTGCAGAGGTGATCTCAGAGTGAACAGGAATCTGAGAATTGCTCTGCTTTTTCATTACACAGTGTGATGAAATATGGTGATGATGAAGTTACTTACCGAGGACAGTGAGTGTGAGCAGAAGGTTCTTGAACATCTTGGAGCATAGCTGGGCACATTTTGACTGGGGTCGGGCTTCAATGGGCTCCAGGTGACTCTCGTGCATCCTCACCTCCACTTGTTTAGGCATACTGTTAGCACTGTTGCAAGAAAAAGCAAAAACAGAGCTTTTTATTAAATAAATAAAGCACCAAGCCATACAATTCCTCTTTGGTAACTGTAATTTTCCAAAATATTATGTCTTTGGTTGTCATTTGCATCCTCTCTAACAAAAAAGAAGGCTTTGTTACTTCAGTAAGAAGAAACAATCACTTATCATTAATCCTAGATAATAGTTTGTTGTTACTGAAAACATATAGAGTTTAAAGAAGGAGCAGAGTGAAAAAGCGTTACTAAGCTGTCTGACACTGTACAAGAGATGCGAGATATGTGCTCAGAAAAGTGCAACCTTTGACAATGGTTGAGGAGACATTTATCATTTAAAGCCTGTTTATTTAAAGCTAATGACATATATAAACTTTGGTACAGAATATCTTAATGTGTATCTGAAAAGGCTGCTGTTTTGTTCATTGTCTTGGTTGATGTTGCACTCATTTCTACAATCCACAGAGAAAGCAGACTTTTAGTTTTAAAAAATGTGGTCAATTTTCTAATAACATGCACTAAACAATTGAAAATTAAATTGTAAACCTACAAATTTAAGCTACAGGCATTAAGCGGACGTTGTGTATGAGTACATGAGAATAGAAATATGGATGCTTGTGATTCTAACTGAAGACAAATACCAACTCATAAGAATAGCTAACCAAAATATTAAACAAAAAATATGACAAATTAACAAAAGAATTTTAAGTAAACAAATAAAAGTTGTTTACATTGCAGTATTTTCAAATCAAACATCCAATTGTAGAAATAAGAAATGGTATATTTAATTTGATATATACTGATAGTCCTTTCCATGCAAAATAAAAACAATTCTTGCAGAACTTTAAATGGGTTATTGTAATTTTTTTTTAAGAAAAGCCAGACATCTATCAGTATTTATGACAGATATATATATATATATATATATATATACTGTATATATAAAGCTCCATTCCAAAGGAACCAGATAGTCTCAAAAGTACTACAGATACATCCTCTTCCTGAGGTAAAATAGAAAATTTTTGATATAAAAATAATTTACATGTTCCTTATTTGAGTCTGTTTTTTTATTTATTCATTTAATATAATATGGTTCTTAGTATTTTTTATTTATTTTTATTTTTTTGTGTGTGTGTATGTGTGGTATTGTTCTCAAACCCGCTTTGGGCGACTTTAAAATCTAAATACGTTTTCATTTTTTTTTCTTTTTAAAAATGTAACTGTTTAATTTACTTATTTAACTTTTTATTTACTTATTTTGCAAAATATTGTTTTTTGCCAAGTTGTTTTCTGTTTGTTTGTTTGTTTGTTTGTTTTGTTTTATGAGTTTGGTCAAGTTAAATCAAATCTGCATCTAAGGACCCAAAGCTTTTCATGATGTTATGTGGTCACTGATGACAAAAACACAACAGAAACACGGTTCCCATATTTACACACACTTCTCTGAGCTTTGTGTACAAAAGCTTTGAAAACCTGACTATAAGAAGACCATCTGGTCCGCCTGCAGGTCCACAGATGCACCAATCCTATCTCAGCTTATTAATTTCAAATCAAATTGTACATTACAAAAACACATTTTTTTATTGTAACTGTCTTATATTTCATTTTAAACAAAAGCTGAAAAGAAAGACATGAACATGTGAAAGATAATAAATAAATGTTAGCACGTACAAAGTAAGCCAACTTCATACAGTAAAAGTGATGAATGTTAATAATGGAATCTCCTATTTTTGCTCACGCTTACGTTATATTTAGCTCAGAAATAGGAAGCAGGCGATTTTCTGTCAAGATCCTCTCATTAGCACCTCTCGCTCCAAGTCAGAGACAAATTAGTGTGGGTCTGAGGAGATAAATGAGAAAAATAGAGCACATAGCTTTAGCAAAAGCTGCTTGAATCCCCTTTACTTCTAAACAAAAGAACAAAGCGATGTGGTGATGTTTGTCGGGTAGGTTACAGGATAAGTTTACACAATATGCATAATTTTAGCTTTGATTAACATTAAATCAGCTCAATGCCTGAGAAAATGGTTCTGTGCATCCACAAACTTTTCAATGACCACTAAGTTAAATGGTTCTGAGCCACCTAATATAGAAAATGTGACTAAAATTAGTGAAAATTAATTGACTTTCTTTAACTTCAATTCAATTCGCCCAAAGTGTTTGGTTGAAAAGCACAAATAACTCAGGCCTTTGAAAAATGCACAGACACAGTGTTTCTTTACTTCATATAAATATTATATTGTGGTAATTGCTTTTGAGATTAGTTGAAATAGTTATTAACAAATGCTGATTTTGTTTTAGAGTTTGCTGCTAAGAAGTTAAGCAAATATCTTTTAACTGCACCTATCCAGGTTATATGCAAATAAACTTAAAACATTTTCATTCTTTTAAGTTACAATTTCTCATTTAATGACTGATAAGACTAGAGAAAACCCCTCCTATTTTAACCATATAATTTATTAAAGTAAACCATTCAAACAAAACAAACATGCTTAGTCAATATGTATGACTTTCAAACATAAAAATAAAAATAACAATTCAAAACAATAAGTATATGATGTCTAAAAGCACTTACTTCATTCCTGCTGTGGTGGAGGTCAGAGCTATATACATTGACTAGAACTAAATCTGTGAACTTTGGTAAATGAAAGTAATTCAGCAGAGGAAAGCATCAGCTGGATCATAAATGCTCCATCCAAAAGTTTGTTCCAGGTGTCAAAGACACTGAAAACATCAAAGTTCTGCTGACGGCTCGCCACACTGAGTCCTCCACCAACTCCAAAGTATCCAGAGAGGAGCGGAGTCAAAGCGGTCCGGACACCAGAACCAGTCACAGACTCAACCTGAGCTGCTCCATCCTGATGGCTCTACACCCCCCCCCCCCCCTCCCCACCTCTCCAGCCCCCACCACTTGACTTGACCAGCACGTGAGTACACACACATCCAACAAACCTGAGAGTAAAGTAAATAATCAACTCAACAACTTGAGGGAGGGGACAGTATATGAGTCTAATTATCAAATCTTTCAGGGACCCTCCATGCCCTGGACTCTGGAGTCGCACAAACACTGTGAACACCCAGACTTCCAGCTTCCATGGACAACATAAGAGAGGTCAGGCTGAGGAAGCTGAGCATGATGATGCTCACTTATTGCACATTGTGGACAGTAGGACGTCGCAAGCAAGATTTTTACAGAAACGAGAACGAACAAGTGAATGATGAACAGATGATTTAATAATCATATGCTTTCTTGAGCTCTAATGTCTTGATGTATAATAAATGCAGTTTTCTGCTTACTGTACATGGGAGACCACTTGTTTCAAGTACTTAAATAATACAAGCAACGCATCCTATTGTACTTTCTGTCTCACACACATACAGATACAGAGTTCTGTAATCCAAGTGTTGGATACAACTCATCAAGTGCATTAAACTCCAAAGCACAACCTATACGTGATTCATGGGAGGATGTTGTCACGCTGATTTCCCCTCAGTCTCCCAGCAGCATGAGACTTCACATCGTATTGAGCAGTGCACATTATTCTAATTGGGGAAATGTGTTGGAAAGCTATTTCCTCTTCAAACAAATGAGCAATTGCACAACAAAAGCCAGAGGAATGCCATCTCTTTCTGCAACGGTTGTGTCATGAGAAATCATTCATCCTAAATCCTTTGACACCTCATACTCATTCCAAGGGCTCTTGGATGGAAAGAGGTGCATTTTTGAGATGACAGCAAGGGACTGGGACAGAGAAGAAGGGGTTACAGGAGAGAGGAAGAGGGACATTGAAGGGGAAGAGGGTATTGGGGTCACACTAGCACCTCTCAGCCAAGAGAGGGGCCTGTGAGGGGAAGGCTAAGGCAGCCATCCCTGCTCTTGGCTGGCACCATGTGAAGCTCTCTGCATCCTCTCTCTCCATTCTGAGGGGCTTTGTTTCACACGCAAACAGTGGCAGTGGCCCTTACTCACCCGGCCAAGCGCTGCATCCAAACTGGCAGCAACGAGAAAAGACGGGAGGGGGGCTCGAACGGGAGGGAGAGCAAGGGCATAGTGAGAAGGGAGGGTAATGGACATGTCCAGAACGCCAGTTCTTTCAGACCACTGATGTCATGCCTCTGCCCACCGTGGGAGAGCAGCGGAGGGACCAAGGCACCCCTTTCTCTTTCCCCTTTCCACAGTCTCTCCCAGGATGAATGAATCTTTCAGAAGCGGCAGCTCATTGTGTCCCATAATCGACGACGATTATCCCAATTTTATGCAGCCTTCCCAGTGCGAGGAGGTTCCCTGAGTGCTGGCATTGAAGGCCACTGCGATGCAGAAAAGACCACAAGGGGTTGTCCTAGCAACACTCTGTGGCTTAGTGAGAAGGAGCTGAAGGAAAGAGGAAGCTCACAGCCACACATACCCAGCATGCAAACACAGACTGCACAAACATCACTTGTAGATGCTAAATGTCTTACGCTGGTCAAAAGACCAATTTAATTTTCTCCTCACTAAATGAGTGCCTATTTAAAAAGCAAAAAGCATTGCAATATTTAAATTGTTTTATTTGACAGAATACTTTAAAGAAGAGCATCTTTGGTCTTGTACTGTTGCATAATTAGTGAACGACTGTCACATGTTAGCATACGGTGTCACTCTAGCGTTCACAACATGTGATTACATAATAACCAACAAGTGGGAATCAGTGGCAGCTTGTTCAGGTTTTTAGGATTGCACAGACAGACATGTAAATGAGGTTACAAGTTTCCCACTGGTCTCTCAAGGGGCCCAATCTCATGACTGATGCATCACAAAATACTGTGAGGTAAAGACAACTGGATCTGGGCCATGTACCGGATATGTCTACCCCTCAAACACCCTGGGCCTCACAACCACTTGCATTACAGTGGGAAGAAATTAATTTGCACATATTGTCTGCACAGAAGCTTTAAACCCTCTTAAACACACACATACGCACACACACTCGAGACTGGTCCCAATAGGATTCATTCAACAAACACTTTTCAGGTTGTACTGTGCATAGGAAGTGAGAGAAATATTCCAGCTTTTAAAGAAAGTAAAGCTTTGGTACTCTGCACTTAACCACTCATCTCTCGCTTTAAGTTGGGATGACTATCTCAGCTGATAGAAACAGAGCAGTGTCTACATCAAAAGAAAAAGTCCAACTGGTGAGAAAACAATTACAAACAATGTACAGATTCAGTAGCAAACTGCAGCTCTGTCTTTCCAGAATCAGAATAAGCTTTATTATCATTGTATTGAAGTATAGCGAGATTATATTCTGTACAGTCATCCAAAAGATGGGCGGAGTGTACGTGGCTGCAGCTCCTAGGAGCACGACCCCTTATTCTTTAGATAGAAAAGGGGGAAAACCATGAGGATGGTGGGTATTAAAAAAAGATCTCTTCACACCTTGTCCTGGTCAGGACACGATTTAAGACATTTAAAAAATCTACCAGCAAGCACATTTATAGACACATTACAAAGGCATCTGATAACTAGATGGTGAGATTTGTTCATGAAACACTTCCATATAGCACCATAGTCCTGATAAGATGTTAATGTGTCAGCCGGTACAGCTCTGATAAGCGTTCACAGAAGTTCTCGGTGAAGTTTTCCTATCATTCTGTCAATTTTATTCAATATATTTCAATCCTCTCTCAGTAGGTGTGCATATTCATGTGATCAGTGATCTTTTCTTTGCGTAAACTTTTATGGATCTAAGTACAGAAACTCATGTTGGTCCCATACAAACATCTGCACAGACTGTACCCAAACCTTCTTTTAAAAGTGGATGCAAAGGGTCACTTATAGTGGCACACTAGAAAACTCTATTGAATGACTTCCAAGTGGACCCTGGAGTGTGAGTAAAATCTGATCAAAGCCTGGCAAAGGGCCAGAGAAAACTGCAAACTGTGAGTGAAGCAGATTTTTACTGATATTCACCCGTCAGTTTCATGCTGACACAATGTTTTCAGACTGAATTAAAAAACTAAACAATGGGAGAGTACGAGACGTATTTGGATAGACATTTAAAAATGAATGCTTTATAGTACCGCTTTGATTTTACCAATATAGCTGAATTTCGTCTCAATACTGTAAAATGGAAACATTTTTAGCATGCTCTTAATAACACTGTGTTGCAGTTGAGAAATGTTTTTTTTAATTTTTTAATTTTTTTTATGTTAGGTGAAACAATGAATGTGAAAATACCAGCCAAATAGAAACCATATTATGGAGAACAAACAGCTTATAGCTCTGCAACAGTTTTAACCACAGTCTTACCAATTATCATTGATAAAGATAATATTGTATTCCTACAATCGTTCCAAAGAGGTGTACTTGTAAAACCTTTTTTTTATAAATGACAGGACCTTCAGCTCAGCCATGCTGAAGTGAAATGGTGTTAAGCATCATGGTCAGAGACAGTTTCAGATCTAGTGTCTCTGATAACCAATTTACAGTGTATGGCAACATTGGCAAGCATCACGAGAAGCTGATGCTTTTATTGCAACTTGCATTTAAATATTTTAATAATTTTATTGATTAAATGAAGATATAATGTTAGGCCACATTTTCTTGGCACAATTATTTATTAGAGGAGTTGGCGGGAGAGAGGGTGGACCCCGGAGACCATCTTATCACTAGCAAACTGTGGGAGTGTGCTGCTTGTGGGACTCAGTTTGTCTGGTGGCTCCTCAGGTTAAAGAAGTCCTTTAAATGAAGGACGAAACGTCTCAGAAAAAAAAAAAAAAAAAAAGAAAGAAAGAAACTGTCCAGATGACTTGACTGAACATTGTTGGATTTTTACCTGTATTACTGAGCATGAAATTTGG